CTGTAACGGAGACGGAGGATGTTGGCTCCACAAGCTTAATGAGATATAATAATAATAAATAATAATCTCCTAAAGCCAGTAGCCCAGCCTTAGATCCAAGCACATCTGGGAGGTGAAAGTGTTGAGCCACTGATCTCAGGAGGTGTCTATGCTGTTGGTATCTGCTGCAGGATAGGATCAGGTGTTCTGGTGTCTGTGGTGGTGGTGTGCTCTTAGTACAACTGCATCTGTCACTAACATTCTCATCCAATCTGCTAAGATAGGAATTGAAGTAGCCATGCCCAAGCCTAAGTTGGGTGACAGTTGCAAGTTGTGGTCTGTGGAACTGAAAGAAGTGTAGTGGAGGATGCAGAGAAGGTAGGTGGAAGTGGATAGACCTATAATGTCTGCCCTGTTTAGCTGGTTGTAGCTGTGTCCAGTACTGGTGCCAGGCTTTAAGGGCAGACTGCTTGATCTGTGTCTTCAATTTGGTCAGTGAGAGATAACTGTCTATATCAGGTTGGAGATACTCAGCTGCTTGTTTTGCAAGTCTGTCAGCTTCATCATTACCTTGAATACCAGTGTGACTTGGTACCCAATGGAAATGAAGCTGTAAGTCCAGGTCAGAGGATAGAAGGTCCTTTGTAAGTTGTTGAATCTGTTGAGAAATTTGTTGTCCAGGGTGGGGAGAGAGTCTGTGAGAGTTGCTGATTACTGCTTGGTTGTCTGTGAAAACCCAGATGTGCTTGAAGGATAGGCTGGACCTGCTGGCTTCTGTTAGTGCTCTGGCAATACCTACCAATTCCCCATCATACACCTTCATCCCACATCCTAATCCAACTCTCCATCTTCCAACAATCCCACCACCATGCATCATTACCACTCCTGCTCCTACTCCTCCATTTTGCAGTTCACTTCCATGTGTGTAGAGAACAAGGTTTTCTGAATTGTTGAGGGAGTTGAGGAGAGTAATATGACTTTTGGCTGCAGTGTCTTTGTCTTCCTGGCGGATAGTGATGTCAAGTCTAGAGGTGGTATCAGGCAGGTTGGTATGCCAGGGTGGTTGTAGGTTTGGGTAACACTGTTCAACATCTTGTCCTACAGGCAGGAATGAACTTAGTGTATTTAATAGTCTTATTAGTTGGGTGGGGAACTTATCTTGCTCAGAATCAGTTTTCCTCCAATCAGCCTGCATCTTGCCATATGGCTCATGCTAAGGATTCCACAAGTATGTTCTGTTATGTTGCTTGTAGGTAGAAGTCCAAGATATGTCACTCTCAGAGAAGGATCTAGATCAATGAGGTGGTGGCCAGAGGAACTTGCTAGCATGAGGAGTGAGATGGCCAAATGTTGCAGAAAATAGAAACACTCCAGACTTGAGACTGACACTGACTACACTGACTACAAAAGATCTAGGAACTAATACTATAGGATGATCAGAGACTGCAAAGCTAACTGCTGGCACAGTTTCCTCAACACTGTTAGAGGTCAGGACATCTTCACTGCAGTTAAGTATACTAGACCACGTAAGTCCCTCCAAACTCCACCCCTCTCTGTTGACCAACAGTGTGCTACTGACTTTCATACTAAGTGCATAATGTTCAGAGAAGCCATCTTCTCTGATCCACCTGCCAGCCAAACAAGTTTCAGCCATGAGGACACAGAAATAGATAAGTGCTTTCCCTGGTATGCTATTACTCACACTGAGGTAAAAGATGCAATCTTCAAATCTGGACCTCATGAAGCTCCAGGACCTGATGGTATTAACTTTCTTTGTCTGAGGCAAGTGTATAATGCAATTCCTATTCCTCTTGGTAAGTTGTTTCAAGCTATACTGAAGACAGGTTATCATCCCCAATGCTGGAGAGAGGCAACTGGAGCTACAATCAGGAAACCTCACAAAGCAGACTATACTACCCCCAAAGCCTATAGACCGGTCTCTCTGCTACACTGCTTAGGAAAGATTTCAGAAAAGATTATAGCCAACAGACTAGCTTACATTGCAGAAACTAAAGGCTTACTACACTCAGACCAAATTGGAGGAAGAAAGGAAGAAGTGGAGTCGATGCAGTGATGGTATTAACACATGATATTCAGCAGGCCAAGTTAAATAGTAAAGTCCTTTCTGCCCTCTTTGTTGGTGTCAAAGGTGCATTTGACCATGTTAGCAAAACACAACTACTCTTGGTCCTACAGTCTTTAGGATTTCCTCCCCCTGTTCTCACCTGGACAGACAGCTTCCTCTCCAACAGACAACTGGGGTTAGCTTTTGATGGGCAAAGACAACCTCTCCTACCAGTCAACACAGGCATTCCTCAAGGGTCTCCCATTTCACCAATCCTCTTTCTATTCTAGTCAACAAACTTGTTCAAGGACATGCAGCAAGGAGTTGCAACTCCACAGCTAAGAGCCTGCTCCTTTATTGATGATATTGCTTTTATAGTCACAGGCCTCTCTGAGTAGAGCCAATCGAAGGCATTTGAGGTGGTATACTGAAGGGCCTGGAGTTGGGCAGCTAACAATATAATAGTATACGATGATCCCAAGACAGAACTGATGCATTTTCACAACAAAAGCAATGACCTTACTACCAACTCCCCTGTCACTCTTCCTCATTGCACTATTATCTACCCTGCTCAGCACCTTAGATGGCAAGGAGTCTGACTTGACAGGAAGGTTTTGTTTAACTGCCATGTTCAGCAGAAGACAGCATCAGCAACTTGGGCACTTAACATTATTATTATTATTATTATTATATCTCATTATCTCGCCTATGGAGCCACCCTCCGTCTCCGTTACAACTGCGGTCATTGAAAATTATTTCCTAATCGGGAACGACTCAACACCAGGAAACTATCACCACTTTTTCGGTCGCGCACCCCCCCCACTGGGGGGGTGTAGGCCATCAACTCTTCCACTCTGGACTCGCTGAAGTCCTCCCTCCTCCTTCTCGGTCCCTCAGGGGAAGTTAATCCTCCTGTCGCCCTCCCCTCGTTGCCCCAGGAGCCTATCAAGTGCTCCACCTCTTCTCTTGCCCCGCCCTGGCTAGGTCTCGCTTAGCTTTGGCACGGTCGGCTTGAGGGAGG